CCGCGCCGACTCAACCGCGGGGCGGGTAGGGACGAGGGAAACGGGGGTGGTGCGGGGGGAGGGGGGGGGGGGGGGGGGGGGGGTGGGGTGGTGCCGGATCCTGTCGGAAGGATATCAAACCAGTTTACATCCGACGACCGGATTTTTTCCGACGTAATCCGGCCTGGATTCTCATGCACAGGATTTCGACACAAACCAGACCGGATCCGACCAATTTTTCGACGGAAAACGTCGGTTTCTGGAATAATCCGCTACGAATACGACGTTTTCCGGTGTGATCCCCAGCCAAGATTCGACAACCTACGATTTAAATATTTCCACCCCGGATCTTGTCGGATCCATCTCGGATCCGATCGACAATGACCATCGGATCTCACCCGACCTCTTCCGCTCCGGAATCCAGTGCAGGAAACATAAGACAACACAGGTCGGATTCGATCCGATTCGTCAACGGAAATGTCGGTTTCCCAAGCAACTCGGCATCGAATTCGCCGTATTCCAGTCCAATACACATGCTAGGATATATAATCCACGCAGTCATCGATCTAGCTACCATCACACAGAACAACGTTCGTTCAACCAACATCTGCACTACGCAATCATTCCAGCATTGCTCACAGCCGTCGTGCAACGCAACATAGTTCTTTCGATCGGATACTCGACCCTATAAACAATCATTCGTTCAAACTATAACAGTTCAACCATGAAAAGTGACCCAATCTAACCATGAACTGCAAACATTACCAACAATGAATTTCGCGAAACAAAAAGGCATAAACATCTTCCCACACCAAAAACCCCACATCCATCCCTTTCATAAGAACCCAAACATATTCGAAAGTGAAAATACTTTCCTTTCTTCCAAAACCATAATGCAGCCAAAGTCAGTATGAAATCCTCCTTCTCGCAAACCTGCCTCAGAACAATATACATGCACAGCGATCGCCAGCGACATAATTAAAAATATGACCTCCATGTCCCATCAAAGACAATTGTAATATGAAGAAACTTCCACAATCGCAAAATTCGAAAGCGAGCAAAGTGAGCATCAAAGGCTCATCGTCGACAAAATATTATCGAACCATACAAAACTAAACCCAGGCCTAATCGAAAGATAAAAAATACAATTTCGATACGATCTGAAGATAATTCTCATATGAAAAAATTCCTACAGCGCCCGAATTCGAAAGTGAGCAAAAGTGAGCATGAAAAGCTCATTCGCGTGAAAATGCTTTACAATCATATAAAAGCATAAAGAGCTGCAATAGAAAGATAAAAAATACGATTTCGATACGATCTGATTGTTAATTCTGAGATGAAGGGTGTGGGTGGATGTTGATGTGGCTGTTCGTGAAGAGAACACGCACACCCACATCCTTGTCTTTTGTAATTAATGTCATTTTTTAAAGAATGATCTAAACATGTTCTTGTTAAGCTTAAATTATTTTTGTCGGTCGAATGTATTTTCAACACAGGAAGACATTCGAATGTCTTTAATAAAAAGCAGGAAAAATTTTAGAGGGGAAATATATAAGTCTGCTTTAAATCGACTATTATTATCTATTGCATTAGATGGATGCATAGAAATATAAACATTATTTTCGCTCGAGTGAGAGAAAAGCTGTTTAGAACTTAAAAGAATGTAATTTTCGAAAGAGTTTATTCATCAAAGATGTTATTGACACCACTCATTTGAGTTCTACTTTTTTTTAACAACTTTAATTTAGTAAACAGTGTATAATATAAGTAACGCTACGATAAAAATTTTAAAAAACCTCGGGCTCGGCTAACGAAGGAAGATTCTTAAGTACAAATCCCCGTTTCAAATGGAAAATATTTCAGATTGTAGAGTTCGAGCTGATTCTCGCGGTGATAGTGAATTGCGACACTTTTCATCAGTTTCAAGACAGCTGTTAGAAATTTAGAACTTCAAAGATACTTCATTTTTAGATTGTCATGTTATAGAATAGAGAATGTCGCATGCGATGATCTATTTAAATATTATTTTCAAACAATCGGGGAACAATATTTTCTTGTAAAATTTATTTTCACCATTGCTATGAATTTGAATTTTTGACTTATTACACTTGGACATATTTGAGCATTCCCACGAGAAAATCTTGTTATGTATTCAGAAAATGAAGTTGAACTTACTCTTAAAATAATATAAAAATAGATCATCGCATACAGCATTCTCTGTTCTAAAACATGATCATCTAAAAATTAAGTATCTTTGAAGTTCTCAATATCTAACAACTGTCTCGAAACTTATAGAAAGTGTTGAAATTCACTAGCAAAATCGATCAGTTTTTTAAAGTTCTATCGAAAAAAACAAACCATACCACAAGAATCAGCTCAGCAAGCTCTACAATCTGGGATATCTCCCGTTCGAAACGGTACTTCACACTTGGGGTCCATCCCTCGTAAGTTGCATGAGTCGAATTTTTATAAACGGTGAATATGTATTAAAGAGTTTTGTTTTTCATACGTAAAATGTAAGTAAATACTACTCTCAGAATACACACAGTAATTTTTCACAATAATTCAGATTAATTGCTGAACTTCGTTTATTATGAGTAGAATGCACAGTTGCAACCTATAAGACGCGAAAATATCCGCTTTTGCAAAAACCAATGTCTTATGCTTGAAAATTCGAAATCTTGTTATCATTGACTTTTGAACTGAATAGCTATGAAAATGTGCTTTATTTTCATCAATATATAGTATCATTCATAGACTTTTTTTTAATTTCTTATTATTATTCTTTTACAGAAAAGCTAAACATGTATTTTTCTTAGTTGATAGTAGGTTAAATTACTTCCATGATATCAAGAATAATACTTAATAGAAGTATTTGCTTACCTTTTTTTTTGTATGAAAAACAAAGTGTATAAGCTTCTATGAGTAACCAAAAACTAACAAAGGAATACTTCCAAGTGTGACATCAATTTTGAATTGGCACTTAGTAAAACTCGTAGATCTTGGTGAACTATGTTTAACATGGAAAAAATTCGCGCCTATGACTTCTTTCTGAGGATATCGAAAGATTTTACTATAATAGCTATAAGAGTCATTTTCTCAGGAAAAAATCACTCTCTCAACAAATACAAGCTAAAACAAGTTGACATTTTTCTCATATATAGTCATACACATGTAAAAGACCATGTGACATTAGGAGCATAAAAGAACTTAGAAACATAGAGCTATTGATTTCAAAAAATTTAAACGCTATTATCACTTTCATACTAGTCAATACAGTATATCAGTGTACTTTGTTGTTATAAAAGTCTAAGATAAAAACGAATATAGTATCGTAGCAATGCACAATTATCAAACGTTCAAAATCATAGTGCGATTTAAGTACTCAATATACTAAAATTTTCAACTGTGTGTCATGTAATTGTAAGATAGTTCTGCTTTTCTAAGATCTATTGTGCTCATAATGTCACATAGTCTTCTGTATGAGTACGACTATATATGGAAAAGATCTCAATATGTTGGAATTTGTATTTGTTGAGATAGTAATTTTTCCCTGATAATATGACTCTTATATCTGTTATAGTAAAAGAATTCGATCTTCTCAGAAACAAGTCATTGGTACGAACTTTTTTCATGTTGAACATTGTTCACGAAGGGCTACAAGGTGCACTAAGTACCGACTCAAAATAGCTGTAATAGTTGGGAATGCTCGCTTGTAAGCTAATTTGATCGAACCGACACGAAAATATTTCATTTTTTTGTCGTAATGCTATTTAAAACCCATATTGTATAATCATTTTCAACATTCAGCTGAAAATTCATGTTTTTTTTTAACATTTCTAATATATTCTAATTGACAGCAGTAAAAAACTCTTTGTAGACTCCACCCTGTCACAAAACATTTTATATTTATTATTATCTAAAACTTTTACAACTTTAAAAAGATTTCAGTTAACTGAGTTAGGTTTTTTTCCTGAGTTTGTTAGATTATGTCATCGTTTCAAAAGCGAACATGAACTTACAGCTTATGAGATCAAATAAGCAGCCAACAAAAAAAAAGAATTGCACAAGGCTTCTCTATTTAATGCAGAGTTTTGTAGCACTTGTACATATTTCATTCATATAACTTATGTTTGAATGCAATCAATTGAATATTATTCATATCAGTTATTTAAACTTTATTTTCTTTATATTAAGACAATATTCATTGGTGTTTGCATAAGTGTTTTCATTTCAATTGATCTGATAATTCTTCCAATAAGTAATAGATAAATGGTCTATCAGCTACTACGGCTCAGAACAATAAATATATATATATATATTAATGTGCTTTTCTTAAAACAATCAAGAGAATAATACTAATTGATAAGTTGCTTAACAATCACACACAATTTCATGCAGCATATTTTCACCTTTAATTTATGTCACGTAAACAAATGTATCACATCACTGACATGTTAGAAATTCTTCCGTTTTATTATTTTCTTTTTCTGTTGTTCATGAGAGAAAAGAATGAAAACATAGGCATTTTCTTGATCAGCTCAATGTGATGATTCGTTCATTCAGGTCAAACGTGAGTTTACAAGCAATACAAAAGGTGATTAATTGGATTTAAAAGATGTAAGTCGTTTAATGTTCATTAACACTAGTCATACTTCCTTTATAAATATACGCACACATGCACATATTCATTCAATTAGTCATTTGTTTTCATTCGAACAAAATATAGAAGTAAGAAAATATTTATTAAACATTGAAATAATCCACCGCACTTGGAAACAACCAACATTAAAATAAATCAAATTGATTAATGATTATGAATTTGTTTTCTTTCTTGTTTTTTTTTAGTTTATCATGCAATCATCTACTTCACTTTCTTCATTATCATCAACAATATCAAGTAATTCATCAATATATGGATCTCAAACAATTCTTGATGTTGATGATTTACCTTCAGCTACACCTCGTTGTCGATCATCAATTATATGTTCTCTTGATAGTAATCAAATTCTAAATTCACCAACTCATTGTCATTCTCCGTTTCTATCAATTGGATCTAAAACAAAATGTCGTCATCTATTTCGTAATTGTTTATCATCAACTTCATATCCTCTTTCTTCATTAATTCAAAAGAAATTATCAGATAATATATTTCGAAAACAATATTTTGCTAAATTATGTCGTTATCATCGATTACTTCTCGTTCTTAATGATTATCAATGTAAATGTGGTTGTCATTTTTCAATGAAACAAGGTACTTTTGTTATATTATATGAAACAAAAATAGAATCATTATCATCATGGAATAAAACTAGATTTATGACTGTTATATCAAATCAACTAATATGTTCAAAAGTACCATCACATTTTGTATGTGATATTAATGTATTACGTGAACGTGTTCGTTCAAGATCTCGCTGTAATAAAGAACAAAGTTTTGACTTGTAATTTTTCCGCATTCGCTTTTTTTTCTGTTAAAATATATTTGAATTATAATAAATAAGCATAGCAAATCCTATGTTTGTGCAAATATAATAAATTCATTTGGAGAATATATCAATTACTAGTGATAGTGTTACTATTAATCCATTCGTTGTCTATATCTCGAAATGATCAATGCAATAGAAGAAGGATGATGTAATAAACAATTTCACTCTTATGTGTTTTTTATACGATTATAATCGAATAATCAATCTCGAAGGTCAATCGAAGTTGATAGAAATAAATCAATATGCGCAAAAAAAAAAAAGAAAACAAATGATCTGAGCATTGTCTCATGAGAGAGAGAGTGCTTAGAATAAGTAATGATTAAATCTTTACTGTCATTTTCATTGGTAATTTAAATCAATGAACAGAACAAGATAACAAACACTGTATGACACACACACACGCACTCATCATTTAAAAAAAATACAATCATCATAATTATTCATTGTATAATAAAAAATAATAAAATAACGACAACCATGAAAACATTATTCTTGTTGCCATTGATTTTGAATAACCAACCACTAGAATAAATGACATTTATCAAAATCATGGTCACTGCTATTCACATAATAAAAAAAACATACGCACACACATATACACACTCATCCACATACGCATCTTCTTATTATCCCATGTAAACACATATGGTACATTGTCACTTTCCTCATAATCCTCTTACATTAAACAAGAAGCAGACAGACAAGTAAAGTACCCTTATCCATAAAATAAGATAAGAGATTTTTTTCTTATTTACCAGAAGATGTATAGAAAATTTGAACATCTTTGCTTGCTTTTCCATTATCATAGACACATTTAAATAATCCCGAATCATTCAATGATAAATGTTGAATATCTAAAATTAATGTTGCTTGATTTGTATGTAATGATAAATTTTCCATCAAATGTGAATTCGGTATTTCATGATGATTATGATACCATTTAATACGTAATGGATCAATTGTATGCATTGATAATTCACGTACTGTACATGATAAATTAATTGATCGTTGAATATGATTTAATTCAATAATACCATCTTTTGGTAAAATCTTCATGGATGCTAAACGGATAGACAAAAGAAAACTTTTTTGTCGAAAAACAAAAAATCATTTAACAATTTCTTACGAGAAATTGTTATATTAAATAGAGAAGGTATCGATTGATATTGATTTGATTTACACATATAAATTCCTTCATCAGATAATTTTAATTGATGAATTGTTAATATAGATGAATATTTTTTTGTTTGTTCATTATAACCACTGTAATCAACAATAAAACGTTGATTATTTTGTGTTAAACGACGTGCATTAGCATATAATGGTAACCATTTTATACCATTGATTTTATGTACTTTTGGTCGATAAACCCAAGTTATCTAAGATAATATTTATAATTTGAAATTTGAAAAAAAAATGAAGGACAAGATAACATACAACAGTATTAAAAGGTAATGCATCAATTTCACATTGAAATGATATAGTTGAATCGATTTCTCCATTAATATTTCGAATGTTCGATGTACTACCAATACCTTAAAATTAATCATTACAACCTTAGCATAGTACTGTTCTGTTATCTTAACATTCTTTTCGATACATTTGTCCTTCGGCAAAACAACAATGGAATGATCTCTATTCCTTTCTGAATATACAAATATTGTTATTAAATTAGCTATGCATACCTTGACTTAACAAGAAACGCATGCATAAGAAACAGAAAAAAGTATCTTTTTGTTTATATTAACTTCTATCTTAATGAACGATGAAAATGCCACAGACATATATATATATATATAAGAATATACTTACCGGTAATAGTAATGATAAATAGAAGATGTTGAATAGTCATGATGATTGTTCTCTCATGAAATTTGTCAAGTATGATTATGGCGGCATATCACTAGTTTTTATAAAAGATATCGATTATAAGCATGTCGAGACGATGAGAAAGAAAAATTTAAAAAAAAAAATTGTCGATTTCTTTTCTCTTTTCGTACTTACTGATTAACAAATTGACATATGCTACGCTACTGAAACGAGAATATATGTATATGTGTGTGAAGTTGTGCGTCTGTTGAACAATTGAAGAAGGGAGAATGAGAAAAGGAGAGAACATAACGTCTTATTCCCGAAAAAAAATACTCGCTCCTCCTTCTTTCTTAATCTTCTTCTCTCTCGCTTGTGTACAAAGCAAGAGGAATAGAGAAGTCATATTACATGGTTATACCTAATTGAGAAAAGTGAATCAAATTCATTTTATGACATAAGACAATTTCATTGGTACATGATTTAATTTTACTATGAAACCAGATCTATTCATAGTTATTCTAAATTTCTTTTGAACAAATAAAAAGAAATCTATTCGTATCTTCCAACTAATGATTTCGATGACAAGCAATGGTGTTCATCAAAAAAAAAAAACAACTATAGTTGTTACTCATATAATATAATACACTTCAAGTTCCGTCTAAGCTAATGAATAAATGAATTAATACCTCTATGTACACGTACAACACACATTCACTCTTTTATAAACAACATCGATCTTATGACTGTCTCTCGACTAAAGAATGTGTCAGTTGAAAAATAAGTCGAGACGCCTGGCGATAATCTATTTGAACATTTGTATGTACCAAAAAAAAAAAAAAAAAGAAATGTTTTTCTTTTACTCCATCAGAACGAATGAATACTAAAAGTGTCATTGTGTCAAATATAGAAGCGCAAGGACTAATGGTTGAATTCTTACGTTTTACCAATGGGTCCACTTATGGCATCTTAGAGACATCCTATTATCGATATGAATGCATACCGAAGAATATGATGCAATAATAACACATTTATATCCAAAAGGAAAATAGAAATCTAATTGTTTTACACCACCTGTTCTATTCTAATCGAATATATGCTTGTTTGTTCAATTCTATTGTAAAGTTAACAAGACATCTGGATAGGATATAGTTATGTGTGTACATGTATAATTCTTTCTATCTTCGATTCAATCATAATGAATGGTGGATATCATTCAATGAAAAGCTAAAAGCTTTTTTTTTTCTTTCATAATGTGCCGCTATAATTATTTTGTCTTACTTAAAAGCATTGTAGTAAATTTTTTCTTTTTCTTTTTTCTTTCTTTGTATATATATATATATATATATATATGTTGAAAATGTGACTATTAAATAATGCCGACAATAGCCAGCTAACTGTTATGTTTTAGCTCTTAAGATAGCATGCAGGTGATGCAAGGCAACAGATGAATGTCACAAGTGTATAAGCACTTTTACCTGATTGATATAATCTTAAACAATTTTTCTATACACTTAAAACAATATTGCTATTATGAAGGATATTATCGTTAAGTAATCAACTGCGTGAAAAAAAAAAACTTTCATCTATCTTCTTTTTTTTTTTGTTTTATGAGAAAAGTAATGCTCTCATCTTTTTTGAAATAGTGTATCTATAGGATGTGTAATTAACTCATAATGATCTATGTCTAACGAAGTTAATTAAAGTGTTTCATAGAAAGACTTCAATTTTGATATTGTTTTAGATAATGTATTGACGATTAAGTTATTGCATAAAAGAAATCGTATCTTGACCTTTTTAAATGAATTAAAAACGTTGCCAATAGGAAAACATAAAAGTAGTCGTACAGATTCATGATGATGATGAAGTTTTCTGCAATCTACTAATGATTATATATGAATTCGGCATCTGTTATATGATGGATTAGTGAGATAAGTAACAGGTAATATAAACATCCCTTGAAAAAGGTCGCTTCATTTTTCATTGACTAAAATTAGATATCTGCATCTCAATCATTTTCAGAAGTGGTTCGAACTTTCTAAATTATCTACTAGTAAATTAGGTTGAATACTATAGGTTTTCTCTTGAATGGTAAATTTTATTCCATGATATTCATTGTACAAATTGTTGTATTTTGAAGATTTGATTCACATCTCTTCAAGGCTTTACAATGATAGTAGTCAAGTTTGACTCCGACTTCTTCTCATTGGTATGGGTCTTAAAGACACACGAATTGAATTCCTAAAACATACCAGTTTGTATGGTAAATATCTTCGAATAAAAATTACAATTCAAAAAACATGTTGTGTTAAGTTTGATTTATTAATGAGATATTTAGTTGAATTCAATACAGGACTCTAGCTAAAACATACTTTGAAAAAAACCAAAGATCTATTACAGATCTATGTTGAACTCAAAAAACAACAGCAATATGAAAAAAACAGCTGTAGTCCTTTGGTTTCAAATTCAGATTGAGGAATGATTTGTCTATTTGACCACCATACTTGATTGATTGATCAAGGACACTATAAATTATATAATGGTATACTAGTACTAACGGATCATGAGAATGAATAAATAAAAAAGTTGAAGGAAAATATGTATGTGACATAAGCTTTTTGAAATTTATATATTTCACAAAGATGATAATGGATTTATATAGAAAAGTAATATCTTCAATGCCTATCAAGCATTTTATTTACCAAGTCCAGAAGTGATGTTCTCAATGTTTGTATTTAGTGAAAATTATTCAATAGTATCATGTTCTTTACTTTTTATTGACTTTTTCACAATTCTTTGCATTTTTAATATGATGTATAGACTTTTTTGACAATAGATTATCGTTAATAAGCTGTCTTAGCACTTCTGAGTAAGTATACTTCTTTTTCTGACCACCTCTCAATTGATAGTCATCGTACTTAACATCATCGATAGACAACATTCAGCTTGTAAATCAATGTCCATTTCTTTTATAACAATATGAATAAAAACAATTAATTAAATTGCTATTGGCAAACAATAGCTATTATGTATAAGTTAATATTAAAAAAGGAAATATATAAAAAAGACTTCACAGTGATATAAAAAAAATCGATATCTAACAAGTGTCATGAATTTATAAAATAAATCCATCAATTATATTTGTTAATAGCAGTGGTCTTTTAAAATAGGATTAACAGTAGACAGGTTGTGGCTTCGCTTTATAACCATAGCCATAATACATAATAAATAATTTTTATTACATACAAAATTTCATAAACAGCAAAAAATAAACAAGTGAATCAGGATTCATTTGGTGTCTTTCTACTTCTAAAATCCAATCAATTTCGTTAAATGAACGTTTGCTTGTTGTTGATGACCCTGGAATGGAACGCAATGTTGATGCTAAATGTCATAATCATAAATACATACATGACTGCTTTTTTCATCATAATAATACATGTTCAACTTCTTGACAGTTCATTTTCCTCTCCATGTATTCAGTTATTTCGTCACATGTTTCATCATCATCATCTATAGATAAATTTTCATTAAAACCGAATTCATTTAGTAAAACAATATCACTTTCTACTCCTATAAATTTTTATATAAATTAGCAGTTTGTAAAAGTTTCATTAATTATCATTGTTATTATCTTAAACAATGCCATTATTTATTCTTATATTTTCTAATCATTATTCAAAACAAGATTTATTAATAATCGAGAGAACTACTGTATGTTCTTCATCACTTTGTATATCAAATAAAGAAATTGATTCGTTTTTTTTTTTCTACTATTGAATTTATCCATTTATTTTTATTAAAGATATTTCACTGAGACAAGAGAAGAAAAAAAGAATAGATAAATAATATTATTCATCCATGTTAACATAAATCGGGCATTTATAAGGGCCAAACATATATTTATATGCATTCTTTTGTAACCATGGATGAGCAATACAATCAAGAAGTGACATACGTTTTTTCGGATCTTTTTGTAAAAGCTACAAAAAAAAAAACATTTCGAAAAATTGTTTAATCTTTATAATTTTTCTTACATTATCAATAAATCGTCGAGCAGGTGGAGAAAAATAATCCGGAAATTTATAATTAATATTTGCAATTTTTGATTTTGTTTCATCATCAGTACCTTCAAATGGTGCACGACCAGCTAAAAGTTCATATGCAAGAACACCAACACACCAATTATCAACTTGATATTGATATTGTTTATGTCCAACTATTTCTGGTGCTAAATAATCAAGTGTACCACAAGCTGTTGTATTCCTATTAAATTTCAAAACAAATTCTTTCTTTTTACTTTTTCAATAGATAATAAAAATTCAAATTACATTGTATCAGCATGACGAATTTTTGTTGACCAACCAAAATCAGCTAATTTTAAATTTCCACAACAATCAACAAGAACTAAAATAATAAAAACAAACAAATTAAAGTTTGTTTTTTTTTTGTTAAATTTTATATTTACTATTTTCTGGTTTTAAATCACGATGAATAATACTTTTACTATGACAATATTCAAGTGCATGACAAATTTGATAGATATACTAGAGAAAAACTAATTGAATAATGCAAAAACAAAAAGATTTTCAAGTAAACAAAAATATTTACACTAGCTGCTAGACGATCACTAAAACGACGAAGTTTTTGTAAAAAGCGATAAAGTTGTCCATGTGGTGCATATTCAAGCATAAAATAAAAACGTTTTTCATCATGAAATACATCATACATAGTTAAAATAAGTGGATGATTAAGTTTAAAACCAGATTCTGTTTCAATTTTAACTTGTTCGGCCATTGAATATTCATTTATTTTACTTTTATGAAGCATCTAAATTTATTCTTTTTAATGAATAATAGAAAATAAAAAAAAAAAAACAGAAATTTTACTTTTAATGCACAAATAAATTTTGTTTTTTTAAGTCGTGCTAAATATACAATACCAAATGCACCTTTACCAAGTGGTCGACCAAATTCGAAATCATCCACTGTAAATAGACGGTCTTCACTAAATAGAACATAATATATTATTTGAATTCTACTAAGAAAAAAAAAATCGTCTTATGTAATTCATCATGTTTGACCTTATATTTTGAGTACATTAGTTATGATAGATTTGTCGGGTTATTAACAGGAAAATTGAATAAAGGACTTTTTTTTAATATGATATAAGTTTTATGATCTTAGGAAGTTTCAGTTGATAGAGATTGTTTTTTTTTTCAGATAGTCAACGTTTAAATTTAATTGATTTTTCGAATAATTTCAGGTGAGTTTCTAATAAGTTAGCATTGTAGATCGTGGTGAATTAACGACATCAAATTTTAATAAATTCGGATCTGAAAAACGATTAAATGCAAGTATTATTTTTCAATAATAACAAATCGAAATGTTTATTTCTCTTATATTAAAATACGCTCTCGTTGGAGAATTTTCATCCGTAATGTATGCAAAATTTCGAGAGAAAGGTCACAATATATTTTCATAGGAC